ATAACGGTTTACACCAGCGCTCTCTGTGTACATCATGTGATCAGTTAAATTGCGCAGTTTCTGTCAATTACTTCGTAATTTTCGCTATTTTCTCCAATTTTGTTGTGTTAGCGATGAATACGGAAAGACAAGGTAAGAAGAATGTTTCTAAGAGGCGTTCTGGTGATCAAATTGCCGGTGGTGAACGTAAAAGAGGTTTACAGGAACGCAACTATCGCGTTGTAGCCCGCGCCATCCTAGCAACCGCCCGGGCTGTTATTGTGTGCTTTTTTGGGTGGTGCTACCATCTGTCGAGTCAAGATAATGGCCTCTACCTCTACTGGGGGTCCTACTGGTGCTGGTGGGACTGACTCACCTAAGCGGTCAAATAATGAAAAGGAGAAGCGGGACTATCATAAGGGAGTTAAGTTTGTCAAGTACTCGATGCAGGATAAGCAGCGTGTGATTAAATTACTTGAGGAAGGCCTAAAAACTAGTTTCTGGAAAGCACAATCAAGTCAATAAAGGCAGAATTTGTATCATTTGGAGGTTATAAATGGGAAATCAGAGGTTGATGTAGAGTGGCCAGTCTATATTGTTATTTTTCCCATTAGTTTATGTATTTGCATTTGGCGAATTTGAATTTGGCGCAATTACTCGTGAAATACAAGATCTTACTATAATACATTTAAGTACAAGTTTTTCAACTCGTATTTTCTGGTAGATATACGTAACTTTCTTCATTTATTTTTACTCATTTACATGCACACACCATCATAAATACATATTGTGAAAAAGATAAAAGAAATAATTGTCCTAAGGGCAAACCTGTACTTAAATACAGTCGAACCTCGTTAATTCGGACCCCCTTTAATCCGGATTTCGGATAATTCGGACAAAATCTTTTTTTTTTTTTTTTTTTTTTTTAAGATTTGTAGGAATATTACCTACGCGGACTTTAAGCTAAAATGCTGGTCCACCCACTGCTGGGATAAAACATGTAACATCACCACTAGTGTGGGGGGGGGATGCAACTTTTAGCTTCAGACATGAAAAATATTTACCATTTACTGTCAGTAAACAATGGAAATGTAAAATATGTACCAATTAGTAATGAAAAGTTGTGCAGTTCCTTCAGCAAATGAAGCTCACCAACTTACAATAGGCTAAATTACCTTACAACGTGTTTTCAGTAGTCTATGTTGAAGTTCTTAGCTCAGGCCAACTTATCATATCATATACGGTATCACAGTTCTCATTGATCTACAAAAAATACCAGTAATAAAAACCTTTTCGATATTTCACACTTAATATAATAACCGGTAATCTACTTCAAGCTCCTATTGTTTACAACGACGCATGATGCACCACCAGCTGTTGAGTATCAGCTAGACGGTACACGTGTTTTTCGAATCGTTTTCAGTTAAAAAACTGTTAAATTACATGGATATTTTACCTTAACTGTGCCTGAATGAATATATTCTCGGAAATAAATAGTAGTTTTGCTGAAACGTGATGTATTTTAATGTAAAATAGGATAAAATACATGACGAAAACAAAAGATTTTACCTAACCTTCCGATGTTCAAGAGAAGTACTCGTTTTTTTAATAGTTTTTGGTTAAAATACTGTTATATTACAATGGTATTCTATTCATACTGTGCTTGATATAATGCATTCACGGAAATGTAATATTTTTGCTGAAATGACGTACGTATTACAGTGGAAAGTGGGATAAAACCGTGACGAAAACAATTACTTTCGGTTTCTTTCGCTCAAAAGATGTTACCGTAATCGCTTTTCGATTGGTTTTCAGTTAAAAAACTGTTGTATTACAATAATATTCTATCTTAATTGACTTGAATAAATACTACGATACCATATTTCTGAATATTTTCATTAAAATCCATCCAAATCATTTTCCTTGTCATCGTCTGCAGCACCAAACCTGCTTCTCCCAGTCCTCTCCTTGAACAGGGCTAGAGGGTACGTGTTTTTCGAATCATTTTCAGTTAAAAAACTGTTACATCACACGTATATTTTACCTAAACTGCGCCTGAATGAATATATTCTCGGAAATAAATAGTAGTTTTGCTGAAACGTGATGTATTTTAATGTAAAATAGGATAAAATACATGACGAAAACAAAAGATTTTACCTAACCTTCCGATGTTCAAGAGAAGTTACTCGTGTTTTAATAGTTTTCGGTTAAAATACTGTTATATTACAATGATATTCTATTCATACTGTGCTTGATATAATACATTCACGGAAATGTAATATTTTTGCTGAAATAGCGTCGTATTACAGTGGAAAGTGGGATAAAATCGTGGCGAAAACAATGACTTTGAAATATAATGCAATATTAACCCTAAATCAGTTAATTCGGACAATCGGCTAACGGACACCCTTCCCCCTATTAGTCCGAATTAACGAAGATAAGCTTATATACTAAATAATTACTAAAATTTGTCTATTGCAAACTATAGGATGCTTTTACTCAAATTAATTAACATCTTACAAGAATTCCAGTGATGTAAGTTATATTCTGCCAAGTCAATTCAGTTACATTTTATAAGCGAAAAGCTTAAAATACCTCTGTTTGATATGATAACTACTCACTTGGTAACTTCTCAACCCGCTGTGAACACCTCACCTCCTCCCAGCCAGGGTGAAGGTAGTTTGAGGCTTAAAGTTTTTATCTTATAAAATGTCACAGACTAAACTTACCAGAATATAACTTCCATTGCTGGAATCCTTGCAAGATAACTAATAAGTTGAATATAAACATCATATAGTTTGCACAAGAGATCAAAATTTTAGTCCTTAAGTGTACAGTAGTATATTTGAGTACAAAGTGAGTACATACAGTAATATGTTGCTCAAAATTATGGCTTTTTCACAGGAAAAAGTCTGTATAGCTAACCCCAGTGGTCAGGATAATATGCACTGTATTTATGGTGTTTTATTTATTATTATTTGTCTTTATACATTTATTATTCGCATTAAGATTCAGACAATTGGCTTTTTCGGACTGGTGGTCTCCACTTTTAGTTCGAATCTTGATGTTCACTGTACAGTGCTCTCGTTGGCGCCTCGGTTAACAGCGCCCGTCTGGCGCCTCGGTTAACAGCGCCTCGATTAACGGCGCCTCGGTTAACGATTTACCTTCCATAAGATTCTTAACCCGGTTAACGAGCCAGCTTAAACATGTTTTAAGCTTGCATTTGGCGGCCCAACAGCTGTAGTATTAGTCCGTTAATACAGTAATGGGTTTTAGGGCTTAAATTCCTTACTATTTTAGTAAATATCAAGAAGTTTATGCTATTCAATAATTTTTAAAGTTTAATATTAACTTTTTAGTCATTTTAACAATTATTGAACATAATTGAAGGTAAAGAACTAGTTTGGCGTGCCATCCAGCCTGTTAACACACAAACAGGCATTAGTT